GAAGAAACCTGAAAGAAACAACCTCTTTTACCTATCTGGGAAGCATCGTTCCAACTACAGGTGGAACTGACGAGGATATCAAAGCAAGACAAGCTTTCACTACTCTCAAGTCTGTGTGGAGGTCAACAGCACTGAACATGAAAATGAAAATAAGATCCGGATTTTCAACTCCAATGTGAAGTCAGTGCTACTGTACGGATCACAGACTTGGCGCGTCATAAAGAGCATCTCAAACAAACTACAGACCCTCATTAACAGTTGTCTTCGTTCAATACTCAAGGTCAGATGGTCAGCCAGAAAAGATCAGCAACAGGGATCTCTGGGAGCGAATGAACCAGGAACTGATTGTGAAATGAATAGGCAGGAAGAAATGGAGATGGATTGGCCATACTCTGACGTCACTAGACAAGCCATTGCTCGAGTGGAACCCGAATGAAAGGGAAACGGCGAGTTGGTCGTCAGTGCGGGGGTGACTTGGAGGAGGTCATGTGAAGAGGAGATGAAAACGTGTGGGCAGACTTGGAGCCAGGTGAAGACTCTAGCAGAGAACCGAACGCAATGGAGACGCACGGCTGAAGCCCTATGTTCCTCTAGGAATTAAAAGAAACAATAATAATAAGATTATTTGGATTTTTGATCATCCCCTTTTGTGTCAGTGAAATCCTTTAAGTCACGAAGCAAGAAAGTCAAACAGTACGAAAGAAAGGCCATGGCAAGAAGAGGAGAATTTAAAAAAAGCTTTAAGACTCATCAATTAGTTTCAAATTTGACCAGGGACTGAGTGTTGGAAAGCTATTTCGTTTTAGTTGGAGACTCGTTGGCAAAAAACACCCACTTGGGTTAGAACTCACGACCTTTTAGCTACAAGACAGAGAGAGAAAAAAATGTCTAACATTCCCTGTCGGTTTTCAATCTATAGTCAAACTCGGAAAAAAATCAAATCGCTCCAAAGTAGCTCTTAAAAACTTATCAGTTACTCAGACAAAGACAAGAGATACAAGACAAAAGATACTCAGACAAGAAATAAATATACTAGAAATAGTAACATTAACAAAGATAACGTGAATGATAAACATACACAGAAAGATGACGACTCCAAGAGTAAGCAATAATAAAATACCTCTAAAATCTCAGGTAAGATTCTTATCAAACCGGAAATAAATTTGACATTCAAGCCTATAAATGCACTTAGAAACAAACTATATTTGTTAAAGAGACCTTTGGAGCCTGTTAAATAAAAACATAGATTAAACTATTATGCCAGGGTTAATTAAACTGAGAGAGCACAAAAGCTTAGATAAATACAGATTAATTTTCATGTATTGGTTTTGTAGGGATTCTGTTTGATTGCATGGAAGATTTCATCATGAGCTGAGATCAGTAGGAGAACCACTGGAAAACCTAGGAGTACTGGACAGCTGTTTCATCCTAGTTTGTAACTCTTCATCAGTACGCACCCACCGAGGTTCGAACCTTCGGGTCCGAGTGGCTCAGTAGTCTACGTGCTCGCCTTGTAACCGGAAGGTTCTGAATTTGAACCCCGGTGGGTGCGTATTGTTAAAGAGTCCCAAACTAGGACGAAACAGCTGTCCAGTATTCCATGCAGGTTTTCCAGTGGTTCTCTAACTGATGTCAACTCATGATGAAATCCTCCATCCAATCAAATTCAGATTAGTTTAATCCAATAAAATAAGGCGTTTAGAAAACGGCTCAGTACAGTCGCATGCAACAAGACAGTTGAGCGAGACAAAGTGGCAATATTTAAATGTAACAATTAAATAGACAGTAAACAGAACAACAGTGACAACTGGATTAATTTTCGACTAAGCATAAATACTTTCATGTGTACCTCTTACTATACAAACCAAATAAGGAAAGAAAATGATTGGCAAGAGCTTTGAAATCATCTCTGTATGACTGATTGACAACTAGAGACACTAACTAAGTAACTAACTAACTAACTAACTAACTAACTAACTAACTAACTAACTAACTAACTAACTAACTAACTAACTAACTAACTAACTAACTAACTAACTAACTAACTAACTAACTAACTAACTAACTAACTAACTAACTAACTAACTAACTAACTAACTAACTAACTAACTAACTAACTAACTAACTAACTAACTAACTAACTAACTAACTAACTAACTAACTAACTGACTTACTAACTAACTAACACAAATATCTAATCCTTATCGATTTTATCTACTTAAAAGCTTAAACATGACACACATTGATTCGAAAATAGGAAGATTACGAACGGACTGCAATTCATGTAAGCAGAAATTTAATAGGAAATTAAAGAGCTGAATCATACAAACGAACACTGCTTCTCTAAGTATCTACTTTCCTAAAAGTAGGTCAGTTTCCAGTAGATTAACTTTCAAGAGTATAGTGAAATATTTCCACAAAGATGACTAAGTTTCAAAAAAAGGGAGATTGGAATTTATTGTTTTGATTTGATAAACTAGTAGATAAAGTTTATAGGTGATTCCTATTACGGTGTATCAAATGAGTTTAAAATTTGAACTGTTTACATTTTGTGACGTTTTTGAAGACATCTCCTGTTTAATTAAAACCATGTAATGTATCCACTTTGAAAAGGCCTTCGATGGGGTTGACCAAGAAGTAATTTTGAAACTACTTAAAAACACTGCAGTGCGTCTAACCTTTATCAACTTCATTCAACAGTTATATGAAAGTTTCACGAGTCAAATGATCCAGAATGAAAAACTCAGCCCAGCCTATGAAGAGAAAAAAGGAGTTAAACAAGGCTGTCTATTATCACCAGTGATAGTCCTAATTAAAGTGGAATGGATTATGCGGCACGCTGTACTTCGGAGCGAGAAGACAGGCATACGTTTAGCCAACAGTGAGTCTGAACTTCGTGGATGGCCTATGTTTAATGTCACAGAAACCCGAATATCTACAAGCGAAAACCAACTAGTTGGGAGAAGAGGCAGGAAGCAAAGACACTATGTCAAGTAAACATAGAGAGAAATTTGAAAAACGTCACATACTTCATTTATCTGGCTTGGCGGCATCATTTCAATTGCAGACAGCACGGATAGGGATGTCAAAACCATCAAGAATTGAGAAGGCAAGACAGACGTTTGTTGCTCTGAGATCAGTTTGGAAGTCTTCTGCACTGACTTGGCATAAAGACCGAATTCGGGTTTTTTAACGCCAATGTTGAGTCAGTCACATTTGTAAGGGTCAGAAACGTGATTAGCATTTCACGAAAAGTATTCCCAATGGTCCACTACAGGCTTTAATCAACAATTTCTTTCACTGTTTTGATACTGAAGGTCAGATAGCCGGCCGGAAAAGATAATAATCTAGGAACTCTGTCAACGAACCAACTATGGGCTTATTTTTCAGCAAATACGGGAGGAAAAATCGATAGATGGATCAAACACTCGCTGAAGAGAACGCTGAGTGACATCACAACCCAGGACCTTGAGTGGAACCAGTGTGGGAAATGACGAGTTAGGCGTTGATCAAAGGTTGGCATGGGTGAGATTGTGTGAAGTGGCGGCAGGAGCCCTCGGGCAGTTGTGGAGGCAGTCAAAGAGGGCTGCAGAGAACAAGGTGAAATTAAAATATTCTGTTGAAGCTCTCTGTTATATTCGAAACCCAAAGTCATATTTAAAGAAATGTTACAGGATTTCATCATGAGCTGACATTGGTTAGAGAACCATTGGAAAACCATCTGGGAGTACTGAACAACTGTTTCGTCCAAGTTTGGGACTCTTCACAGTACGCACCCACCACCAGAGTTCAAACCCAGGACCTTCTGGTTAGGAGGCGAGCTCTTATACAATTGAGCCACTGGGACCCTATCCAACGGCCCATGAATTCTAGCTTCTGCCAATTCACGATATAGCGCAAACGCTAACCAATGTCTTTGGCGAGTAACTACCTGGTAGGTAGTTACCTGGGGTTCCAGTGGGAAGTCGTGACCAGTAGGGTGCAGCCGGTGGGGTGTAAGGACAAATACTCGCCGAAGACATTTTCTAGATATCGCGCTATGTCGTGAATTGGCAGAAGCTAGAATTCATGGGCCGTTGGATCGGGTCCCAGTGGCTTAATGGTATAAGAGCTCGCCTTGTAACTAGAAGGTCCTGGGTTTGAACTCTGGTGGTGGGTGCGTACTGTGAAGAGTCCCAAACTTGGACGAAACAGTTGTTCAGTACTCCCAGTTGGTTTTCCAATGGTTCTCTAACTGATGTCAGCTCATGATGAAATCCTCCATGCATTCAAACAGAATTCCTACAAAACCAATACTTGAAAAAAATTTTATTTGTGGTCCTAAATCGTATCCTACTGTCTCCAGTGATTGTTGAATCGAGGATCTATTTCAGGCATTCAGCGTGTTTATTTTTTTAGTTTTTCGCATGAAACAGAGTCATTCACATCATCTGTATCCACCACTGGAATAAATCCATATCGGTGAGTATAATACACAGGTTGTTAATGCCCTAAACATCTGAGGAACCATGATAAATTCTAGTCGAATCCTTAGAATGTGAGGTACAGAGTGGAGCGAAGTGAAAAAGTATTATCATTTACGTAATCTCTCCTTTTATTTCCTCAAGTTTTTCGATTCTACATTCAGGTAAAAAGCGTGAGCTATAATTTAAAGAGTTTTAATACTGGCAGTTTTGTTTCCTCTCGGTTTGGGCAAACAAGCAAGAAACCCTACGCAATTGACCTAGTAGACATAGGAACTGTAAAATAAGCACTGAATTACCCAAGCGCTTTTAGAAAATGTTATTTTACAATGGATTCTTTGACAGTGTTTCTATTTACGTTTTGATTGTGATGTCAACAACAGTATGTCTTGCTGTGTTTATGCCGACATCATAATTGGACAAAGGTGTTTCCGGTTGAATGTCAAATTTGTGTGAAAATTTGTTCATTATACCTTGATATATATATATATATACTGTTAATACCGCTCCATTCATTTGTATGTTTTCTTTCCACAGGATTCTCAGGTCTGGCAGTTGCAGGCTATGCTGTAAATGTAATTGATTTAGCTCCCAATTTCTCAGGTTTGGTAATGGGATTTGCAAATAGTGTCAGTACATTCACGGGTATGTATAGAATGTGGTTATATATATATATATATAATTTTATTTCCATTATAATTATTGTAATAACTACCTACCTACATACACCTACAACTTGTAATCACTATTGATTTCAGGAGTAATTTTTTGTTCTCAGTTCCCATTTACGCGTTTAGAAAAAACAACACAGATATTCCTTGTTCAATTAATTCCTCATCGTCGGCTATACACTAGCATATGTAGTTTTTCTGCATCACAATTTTTACTAATTCAGTGGTTATTCTAATTAATCAGTTTTAAGTATAGGGGGAGAATGAAATCAAGAGGGGCTAAAATTCATCAAAACAGTTCATCAGTGGACGTAAATAACAAGATATTTAAGTTTTGAAGAAAGGGTGAATATTAGTCATGGGTTTCATACATTTATTCCCCTTAATGAATTTGAACAAAGCAAGAACTACAGTTTTAGCAGAATAAAGTGGTACCATCAGTGTTCATTTCGTTGGCTTCTCGTCAGCTGCTTACAGGGCAAAGACATTATTAAATATATCTACAAAAACAATTTTAACATACTTGCACAGAGCTCATTTTAAACAAAAATCAATCGATCAATATACGCATACACTAATAATATATACATATATATGTAATATTAAACACTATTCCGAACAATAATAATCATACACAATGGAAAATTTTCAGCATTACGTATTCAGATGAAAGAGAGGTGAAAATATCCAGTTACCAGGTTGGCAAAGAAAGACTGATAACCGCTTCTTTCTGAACGCACAAATCAGGTTTCAGGCGCTTGACGGAAATGGCTTCAGCAAACTTGAGGACGTCACTAGCCAGAGCCTATCCTGCAGCTAAGCTGGTTCCCGTCTATCGAACAACTTGCTCTTTGATGCAATCAAAAATCGATAGATATCCTTCTCATGTTAACTCCAACTGTGTATGCAAATTTACTTGTATCTGAGGGAGCGGTTACATTGGAAAGAAAAAAGAAAGAAGGGCATATCTACGATTTTCTGAACATGTACTAAAAAGCTTATGTCTAAAGGGAGCAAATGCTTTGTTTGAACAGTGCCATCGCCAGACATCTTCTTGACACGGGTCATGAGATGGACGTTTCAAAATCGTTCAAAATTATCAATAGACAAAAGAGTTCAGTTCTCCTAAATTTGCTGAAGTCATCTCCATCAAGCGCCTGGAACCTGATTTGTGCGTTCAGAAAGAAGCGGTTATCAGTCCTTTTTGCCAACCTGGTAACTGGATATTTTCACCTCTCTTTCATCTGAATACGTAATGCCGAAATTTTCCATTGTGTATGATCACTATTATTCGGAATAGTGTTTAACATTACATATATATATTATGACTGTATGCATATATTGATTGATTTTTGTTTAAAATGAGCTCTGTGAATGCCTGTGGGAAGCTGATGAGAAGGCAACGAAATGAACAATGATGGTACCACTTTATTCTGCAAAAACTGTTGTTCTTGGTTTGTTCAAATTAGTCATGGGATTCACGATAAGCTAATTCAAAGGCGTTAGCAGCAGGTTATTGCATAACCAAGTAAAATAATCAGGACCAAGAAGAATGGGATGACTCAGTAGAATTACGTAATATACAAACAATTTAACTGAATTATCTAGAACTGTGAAAAATCACGAAGTTAGAAGATAGTTACAAAGGGAGGGAGAAAATTGTTTGTAAAGCTTAATATATATTTTTTAGTTGCCATATCCAAATTACTTTTGAACACACGTTTGGCTTGTACAGATGAATTCCAATTGCTTTTGCTGTATGTAAAAGTTGTACTCATAGATCATGCGAGCGGTTGAGTGAAGTACGATAAATAACTTTAAAAGCTGTATTAGAGTCGACAAGATGTCCAGTCAGTATCGACGAGATGAGCTAGTATTGAACTGTGTATAGCTTCATTCACACCTTTGCCAAACCTAGATGGGAAGTGTTCTGGAATTCGACAATGAACTTGCCTCATTGTGTGCCCATCGTAACTAGGTTTGCACGAGAAGTTGAACTGGTAAATATACATGGGAGAGGCGAGCCATGGCAGTTCGTCTTTATTTCTTGAACTGTGTATTGGTTAACTAGTGAATAAACAGCATAACTTAGCGGTGTTCAAAGCCCCTTTCGGACGCTGTGATAAAATCTCATCATTTACATCTCCCATGGATAGCAATCTTAGAAACGGTGATATTTCGGCAGCTGTGGGCACCTTCAGCTTTCTACTTGTTAAGTTCATGTGTTTGTTCAAATATTTTGTTGGATGTCCGTTTCTACTTAGTAGATCACGAATACTATCGACTTCTTTGTTCACTATTTCACATGAGCAGATAATTCTAGCCCGGTGAACCAAACACCAAACCAAATCACGTTTGTATTGCAGAGGGACGAAACTCAGAAAGTCTAATATATTACCCGGCTGGTGTAGGTTTCAGATGCAATGGTCTACATATTCTTCCGTCTGCTCGTTTAGTTATTGGGACATCCAAAAAAGAGATAGAGTCATTTTGTTCTTCTTCTTTGGTAAAACTTATGATTGGATGCATTTTACTGAATTCCTCCAATGTGTCCTTTGCCTCATTTTCTTTCCACAATACCATAAATGTATCATCAACATACCAACAAATAGAAATCAAGATTATGTATTCCACCTTTGAGAGGTCTATTCTCTAGTTTCGCCAGGAAAATGTTCCCATGGCAACACCATCTGATTGTCTATACATCTCTTTATTGGACAGAAGTTCCTTCAGGGAAGACACAGAATGCCAGTGCCTATATCTTGTTTTATCAATTCACTACCTGTGTTGTAATCCACTGTTTCCATCAAAGACACGCTGGTGAATAAGGAAGATGCATCCAGAGACATCATGTACTTATCCTTCACGCTTAATTCTCCAATTCTTTGTCCGAACTCAAAACTGTCTTTTACGTTATTTTTCACATGTTTCATGTGCTACGGTTGTAAGCGTTGCATCAGCCACTTTGTAGTTAAGTGGCATGATGAACTAAACATATCGAAGGTCGGTCTAAATGGCAAGCCATTTTTATGAATATTTGGTAAGCCATAGCATAACAACAGACTTTAGGGCTTCGTACAAAGCTGGTGAAGTATCGCCTTGTTGTTTCAACTTTTTTAAAGACTCTGTTAACGGTCTCTAGGTCCTCTCCGTTATATCTTTATTTTAGTTGATAGTTTCTGAAATTTTGGTCCATCACATAATAAAGTCTCCATTTTGTTAAAGTAATGAGACTTATCCACAATGAAGACTTCTGAGCTTTTGTCAGGTTTGGATATCAATATTTTCTTACTTCCCTTCAATTTTCTTACAGCCTCTCCGTGCCTTTTGGTTAAAATACCATTTGTACTACATCCAGTATTCATGTATTTGTAATGACAGTCGACTAAAGTTGACTTAAACCTGTTAACCTCCACATCCGATGAAAGCATTAAGTCTCCAAGCTGATATTGTATGTCCATTTTATCGACTTTTATATGACTATCACGAAATTTAATTCCGAGAGACAGTACTTCTGAATCTGTCATATCAAGGACATCGCTACAGAGATTGTGAACAAACCGTTTTGGATTAGGCGGAAAACGTGCTTCTGGCATCTGATTGTCAAGGCTTTGAATAAGCTGCTGGGCTCGCTTCTTTTCTTCTTTTGTTTTACTTTTCATTCAAGTTTAAAGCAGTTTATCTTTAGCAAAAGAAGGCTTTAAAAAGTAGAAAGCTTTGAATGTATACAATTTTGGCCTACATAATTTCCACTGATTACGGCTAAAATGCATACTTACTTGATGAAGTTATCTGTAATAACAAATGCCCTTGTGCTTTTTATTCTCGGGGTAAAGATCACTACACTTGCTTCTAACTAAAGTTCTTATCATCTATTTTTACTTCTGTCGATTTCATGATGGTAATAATAATAATCAGGTGTCAAGTCAAAGCTTCTTTTCACTTGTCGTAAATAGATATCAAGGCAGTCAGTTATTAAGTTTTAAGTAAACTAAAGAAGTAAAGTAAAGACATTTTGAAGTAAACTAAACAGGAGTAAGACAAGGCTGCCTACTATCACCAGTGATCTTCCAGATTGCAGTAGATTGTATAATGATATATGCTGATATATGTCTGATTTCCCACAAACTGGAAGATGTGCAAGCGAAAAGCAACGAGTTGACAGGAGAAGAAGAATCAAGGATAGGACTTTGATTCGGGTGAAAATAGAGAAAACAGAGGTGATGAAGATTCCTGGGCAACACCACCAACAGCAACAACAACAACAGACAACGATCAGCAAAAGTGGGAGGAACCTGAAAGAAACAACCTCTTTTACCTACCTGGGAAGCATCGTTTCAACTACAGGTGGACGGAACTGATGAGGATATCAAAGCAAGAATCGGAAAAGCAAGACAGGCGTTCACTACTCTCAAGTTTGTGTGGAGGTCAACAACACTCAGCATCAAAAATAAGATCCGGATTTTCAACTCCATTGTGAAGTCAGTGCTACTTCCCATACAGATCAGAGACTTGCACTGCGCGTCATAAAGAGCATCTCAAACAAACTACAGGCCTTCATTAACAGTTGCCTTCGCTCAATACTCAAGATCAGATGGTCAGAAAAGAACAGCAACAGAGACCTCTGGCAATGAGCGAACCAACCAGGAACCGATTGTGAAACAAATATGCACGAAGAAATGGAGATGGATTGGCTGGTTATACTCTGAGGAAACCATCAAGTGACATCACTAGACAAGCCATTGCTTGAGTGGAACCCAACTGAAAGGGAAGCGGCGAGCTGGTCGTCAGTGCAAGGGTGACTTGGAGGAGGTCATGTGAAGAGGAGATGAAAACGTGTGGGCAGACTTTGAGCCAGGTGAAGACTGTAGCAGAGGACCGAACGCAATGGAGACGCACGGCTGAAGCCCTATGCTCCTCTAGGAATTAAAGGAAACAATGATAATAATTATAAAGATGATTATGCACTACAAA